TGTGAGAGAGTGTGTGTGAGTGTGTGTGTGAGAGGGAGAGTGTATGTGTGTGTGTGTGTGTGTGTGTGTGTGTGTGAGTGTGTGCGTGAGAGAGGGAGAGTGTGTGTGTGTGTGAGAGAGGGAGAGTGTGTGTGTGTGTGTGTGTGTGTGATAATGCATCACATCTCTTTTCAAGTGATTTTGATAAAAACAGACCCAAACTGTTGAAACCGTCACTCTCTCACTCACTGGAAATTGATTAATGGTGTTTCTATCAGTGTCTCTATTGAAAATATTATCATTTATCACAGATGCCTCACTCTGGTGTGTGTGTGTGTCTCTCTCTCTGTTATGAGTGGCATAACTCACAGTCCTGTGTCTTCCTGTCATTCAAAGCCCCTGGTGGCCAATCAGAAACGCAGGGGGAGTGAGGCTCCGCCCACACGGGCTCATATTTCAGCACTGACTGTGATGCATGAGTGACCTTCATCTCTCACATGTTTGTGATGCTCAGTCTGTTTATGTGATGGATTGATGTATCTGAATACATCACAGTACGTGTGGATGTTGGTAAAGATGTGGCTTAGTGGTTTGGTCTGGTTCTGACGCGTTTTAAATTTTTCCTAAATTCCATTTTAATGGTTAAATTAAATTTTAGTAATCAAAAAACATGTCTAATTAATTGAAGTAATGAAGCATACAGCTTAACATTGGTTTAATAAAAGTCGAAGAAATATGACATTTTATAATTTTGACCCATACAATGTATTGTTGGCTATTGCTACAAATATACCCCAGCGACTTAACACTGCTTTTGTGCTGCAGGCTCACATATGGTTTAATTACGTTTTTGGTTTAATTTATGGTTTAACTTATATTTCTGGTATTTAAATGCTTTAAGACCCTCAAAACACAAATATTTTTATTTTTTTTGTATGTACGGAGCACCATTAAGTGTCAAAAATACTTGTTGTTAAATTATCTATAAAGTTATATTAGTGACAGAAAACTTTTGTAAATGTATTTAGACGTTTCCCTATATCTCACACACTTGGGACTGAATTTTGTTGATGAACATGAATATGGTCGGCTATTGATGAATTATTGCAGCATGAAAAGTTGATCACTGAAAGTGAAAGTTCATGCAAGTAAAATTAGGCTAATTAATGCTTGAAAATGTTATATTACTTTGATAGAAATAAGGTTTCATAAATTTGAGCAATCATGAGTTATACATTCAAAGGAATTTCATTAAGTTCCAATACTGATTATTTTTTTTAGATTATATGTACTTATAAATTTCATACACTTACACAAATTTCTCATCATTATTGAAAAATGTATTTTGCATCATACTTTTTTTTTGTTGTGATTTAAAATTTCAATGAGTTTTTAATTAATAACAAAGTGTTTTATGCAGTAATCACATGGTTACATTCCAAATGTTTTATTTTACACAATATGGTTTTAGTTGAAAAATATTAATTAAGACTGTTTTATAAAATAATGATTCTTTGGGTCCAAACTGATCCGGAATGTGAAAAGAGTCTTTTTTTTTTACTTTTCAGAATCCTACAACTTAGTTTGTTTCCAATGATTTTGGAGCCCATTTTATGTTCACATTTAACCCAAAAAACATGCATCTTGTAGCAGATCCCAGCACTTTGTCAGAGATGTCTTGTGTCGTGTCGAGTATGTCGCTGTGGTTTCGTCGAGGCGGAACAGACGCTCCGATCGCGTGATCAAAGTCTGCGACTGTTGCTCTTTTGAAAGCCAGAAGGATGTGCTTTAGACGGAGATGTTTGCTGAGCTTTGATGTGTGTGAGACTGTTTGCACTCTTAACCCAGCGACGGTCACCACCCAGATCTGTCCATTCACGTGGACAATGACCCGCCGAGAAGAGCAGGCCTTGTTGACCGTTCCGATCGAGCGCCACAAGGCCTCAGTCGAGGATAAAGAGCGCAGAAGTGAGGGAGCGAGGTGAAAGGGGATGTGCTGGGATTATTCTGGAGTGGATGGGAACAGAGCGTGGGTTTAAGCCCTCGTATCAAGGCTTTAATATTCATTCATGTCACTGCATGAAGTTCAGTGTGTTGCCGCTCACTGAAGTTAAAATAAAAGCTGTGACGTTACTAACTCCAGCACATACTGTATGTT